GACCCTAAATCAATGGAATAGAAACTTAAAAACTTAATGTGGGTAAATAAAAATTCCTAACACATATAAAAGATGAAGAAAAATTGGCTCAACAGAATTTTATGTCAGAAAGGCATAAAATTTACTGAGTCAGACATTCAACTACCAAACAAAATCTTAGGAACTATAACTAGATTTATAGACTGTTGTCCATATTGAGGTTGATGTCTAGTGTCTCTTTACTGCAAAATTCACTTCTAGAGAATTGTAAGATAGGTAATGACTTAAAGAAAAAGAAGGCAACCAAAAAGATGAAGAATGATCAGAACAAATTAGAATAACTGGCCAAGAAAACAGAAATACTATAGGTACAAAAACAAAGGACTTAAATATGGAAATGGCTATAACCCAGAAGAATTAGTAGACATTTTTCTTCCAAGAAAATATAACAAAGAAGAAGCTATTGAGATGCAAAATTTAATTTGATTAATGAATATACTTCTCCATCTTAAATTTGGTGAAAATAGATTAGGCTTTCTACAAAATCATAGATACATAAAAATGAATGAATAAGAAGGAATTATTTCTCCATTATGGGGGAAGCTGGATTACATAACATCTCAAGTTTATGTTGCTTTGTGTTATATGAATGTTAAACAGAAAAAGTGTATGGGCATCACTGACACATAAGAAATTAGTATAGGTTCAGTTTATTATAATTATTTAATATATCCCTACAGATATTTAGGGAGAGAGAGAGGAAAAGTAATTGTGTATATATACACACAACTGGTTTAATTCGAATTATTATTGTCTAAAAAGTGTATGTCTGTTTCCTCCTCAAAATAATCTTGATTAGAGGCCAATACAACCAGCCACAGGAAGTCTAAGTTCAATACTTTCGCAGACTCTTTCACGGAGGCTTCCATTTAAAGCAAATAAAAGTGGGAAAGTCAGTCTTCATCTATCTAGTTTTCTTTTCTTCAATGCATTTAATTCTTTCAACCTTAAATCCTCAATTCTTTTAATTTTTTTTTCTACTTGGCTCTGTTGTGTTTGAGAGTTTAGTTTTAACTGCTTCAATTATCCATAGCCTGAGATTCATGTGGACTTGGCTTAATCAAGGGTCTAACACAGGTATCAACAAACTTTTTTGGTAAAAGGTCAGGTAGCAAGTATTTTATTCAACTCTGTCTTTCTACCTGAAAGTAGCCATAGACATACATAAATTGAGATGTGACTCTGTCCCCAAAAAACTTTATTTACCAACACTAAATTTTGAATTTCATATAATTCTCATGTATCATGAAATATTTTTCTTTTCATTTTTTTTCCAACCACTTAAAAATGTGAAATGACTGTTAACTCACAGGCCATAAAAATCAGCAGCAGAATGGATTTCACCCACCATCAGCAGCTTGGGAATTCAAAGCTTACTCCATTTCATGTACTGGGATTGATATGTTAATGAAAAAATTTTTGGAGCTCTTTTACTTCGTAGAAACAGCTAAACAAAAAAATATTTTTAACATACATAACTCTGAGAGCTATATTTTTGCTTCTCTTTTGTCCTACAAATTCTTATTTCCATTTGCATTCAGGTTGAATTTTAATTTTGAGTCTTGTCATTACTCTAAAAAAATGTAAAGGGTACATTCCAGCACTTAGAACATCTCTCAAAGTTCTGTTTTCTCTTCAAAGGTTATTTCTCCAATTGCTTTATAATTCCTTCATATGGGCTCAATATATTCTTTGATATTGAGCATTTCTTTAACATTTTATTTTTCAATATACACATATTTTAAAAAATAGTTGTGTTACTTGTTAATTAGAATTCTTAGATGAGCTCCTTTTAATACATCCTTGGTTGTCAAAATTTAGATAAGTAGGAGGAAGAAGTTGAATTTCCTCTGGAAGAAGTCTATAGAAATAATTCAGGACCAAATGAATGGGAAGTCAGAAACATTCCTGTGTTTTCTTAGATTAAGTTTAGGAATGGAAAGGAGTGGGATATTCAGAGAAAGGAAGAAATTTCTGTAACATCTCACGTGCAACTGACCTACATACTTATTAATAGAATCTTCCCAGTGAAACCAATGTGTAGTCCCTATTCTAGTTACCCACATGTGTCCACTATTGTTGAAGGTGACATAGGAGTCAGCTATTTTCTTCGAGGAAAATAAAAACTTCCCCCAGGCCAGACGCGGTGGTTCACGCCTGTAATCCCAGCACTTTGGGAAGCCGAGGCGGGTGGATCACAAGGTCAGGAGATCGAGACCATCCTGGTTAACATGGTGAAACCCTGTCTCTACTAAAAATACAAAAAATTAGCTGGGCACGGTGGCGCATGCCTGTAATCCCAGCTACTCAGGAGGCTGAGGCAGGAGAATTGTTTGAACCCAGGAGGCGGAGATTGCGCCACTGCACTCTAGCCTGGAGCCTGGCGACAGAGTGAGACTCTGTCTCAAAAAAAAAAAAAAAAAAAACTTCCCCCAAACTAAACTTAATTAACATCTATTAAGTGGGTTTACTAAACATGCTTGTGCTATACAGTTGCCCAATATATACATTTAGACAGGTTGATTTATTAAGTTGTTCTCTCTAATACTTAGAACTTCTTAGAGGACCTATTCCTCATCCTTAGTGTCTGAGGCCACTCACTTGATATTTATCAGGTCATGCAGATGTCTTTAAGCAACTAAAACTGTTAGAATTATCTCATACCTTTCTTGAAATGTGTTTACTTTTAATAATCTCTATCTGTCAGTGTCAAATTTGAAGCTATATGAATGGTGTGTCTCACAAAATAAAGGCACCATGATAAAAATGGGCCTTTCAGCTCTTCCACAGCAGCCAACTGAACTTCACTTTGATGTTGGAAATAAAAACTATCAGCTTTTACTTTCTGTATTCATTCTCAATTAGAGCTACTGTTCCCTATTTGACTGCTACTGTTACCATTTACATCAACACATTCAAAATCCACAACTTCCTTTAATCTGCATTTAACCAAGTTTCTGAAAATATTTGCACCAAGAGAAGAAGTGGGATATAACTATGACTTAGTAGGTGTTGGCACATATCTTACTACATAAAGCAGCTTCACTTTATTCTTTTTGTGTGTTTTCTTCCTTTCTCCATTAATCCCCCTCCCTTCCATTTCTAAACTTAGTCTAAGAAAACACAGGAATTTTTCTGACTTCCCAATCATTTAGCCCTGAATTATTTTCTATAGATTTCTTCCAGAGGAAACTCAACTTCTTCCTTCTACTTATCTAAACTTTGACAACCAAGGATGTATTAAAAGGAGCTCCCCTAAGAATTCTAATTAACAAGTAGTACAACTGTTATTTTAAATATGTGCATATTGAAAAGTAAAATAAATCAAGTATATAGATAGATGCTTTTGGATACAGGAATAAGTAAACCATCTCTCCTGCAAATATTAGCTACCGATCATAACTTAGACACCCATTATGACTTTAAACTGCTAAAATCTGATCTTCCATAATATGTTTGCCTTATTTATTAATGTAAATCTTATCTAAGTGAGAGATTTTAAATAGTCACCAGTTTTGAAAGTAAAAATTACATAATTAATATTATGAGATGATTCTTTACAGTAATCATTACCATTTTTTAATGAGATTAGTCATATCATATAATTAATACTTAGTACCTTGTAACATTTGCTTAATGTAGCCATTGACTACAATGATGGGAAGACTTAGCTGGTTTTTCCCTCAGCCAAACTCCTCTTCTAGGTAATTTTAATGAGTGAGGCAATCAGAATGCTTAATTCTCAATAATACCTATTGCCAAACATCATCATAAATTAAATAATACTGTGATATCTCACCTATTGAATCATCCAGTAACAATCTTCCTCTTAAAGTTATTTGGAATAGAGAAGAGTTTTCAAAGATCTTTTTTATCAGTTCCTTGGCTGATAACAATGTGGCACTCACTGGCATTCTTTCAGATGGATATCTTTTAGTAGTTGATCTGGGTCTTCTGTGAGACCTTTTGTTATTTTTTCCTCTGGTATTGATACTACAGAAAATGACCAAAGCATCTGGGACACATCTGTGTTTTTAGAGCCATTAATATAAGAATAATTCTTATTTGCTTATTACTCAACATTATATAAAAGTAGTAAAACAGGGTCTTTTACATAAGATGTGCTCCAGAGGCTACCCTAAATTTAAATGTATTATATTCAGAAAACTTGGATAATTAAAAATGTCAAATAATGATAATGCAGCCTGAAATATCTTTTACTTCGTTTAAAAATTAATAATTTATTCTTAATTTTTTTGTTATTTTTTACTCCTTAGCCAATCAGATGATGCAGGTAAAATATTTTTATTTAAACACATTTTAAAATAATATGAAAGAAAAAGATATATAACACATATGATGCACACACATACACAGATACACAGGGATAGAGGAGACAGAATTGTGTATATATGCACATATGAAGTTTATATAGCAATAAAGTTACCTTCAGTTTGGTGTATTTTTGAATTTATGGAAACTTCCAATTTTACTATTTCATTTAGTTTTTACAATATAATCCACTGGACTATGCCTTTATTAGATATTTACTAGAATCAGGAAGATTGAGGTACATGCCTAAGGTGACAGAGCTAGGAAGTGGCAGAATTTATCTCTTCTGGTCTTCTGATTCTCCACACATAAAAGCTTGTAACACCACACACACATACCCACAACTACTCAGGTAAGAACACACACAATGTAAACTATATCATTTAATGTCCTATGCTCTTCTCTATCTTAATAGATATATAGAGAATTTAAAGCAACCCTAGCCTGCCTAAGTAATGTGCCCCTGGGGCCACTTGCTGCAAGTGATTTTTTTCATAATCTATTTATCTATTTCGTAATCATTCACTTAGCTTTTCAGAGTTCAAATTTGCTTATGGAATAAGAAAAGAGGATTAAGAGATCGTAGCTTAAGATGAACATGACAAAATAATTGTAGAAGAAACAATTACCTTAATAACGGATGTCTCAACTCTGGATGGGGGACTCTGAACTTGTGCTGCTGCCGCCATATTTGCAATGGTGCTGAGGTGGTTCATCTGGCTCATTGCCATGGTGACAGATGCTGGAGGTAGGCTGACAGGAATTAGAGGGTGGGGCATCATCATAAAAGGAAGTTCCAGTCCTATAAAAAATGCACATATATCATCATTGCTCTGGAGGACAGAAATCATTAAAAATGGAAACATACAAAAGTTTTCTAATACTGGTAGTCAAATAAAAAATATTTTTTCCTCTTTGTATGCAAAAATTTCACTCATTATTCTGAGAAACTAGGCTTACAGCTATCTGGTTTGGTGTAATGGTTTATCATTTCATGACTTTTCCTGTGTTTAATACAAATGGTCAATTTTTTGCTATATTATTCCTATAATCAGTCTGAATCTTGCTTAAAATACTAGGATTTTTTTTAACTTATCCCAATTGGTTATTTAAATATAGTATATCTTTTTATTATGTCCTATTTTGCCAACTGATAATTACAATTTAAAAAGCTACCATTTTTAGTGCTGAAAAATGCCATCATACCATTTGGCAGAAGGTGGCTCTGCTGAAGATGGTTGAGAGGATGACTAATTGGAAGGCTACGTGCTCCAGGCATACGGGGGTGGGTGACAGAGGCCTGAGGTCCCTGGGATGGGGAAGAGGGCAGTGCTTCCTTATCCCAGGAACCATCACTGCTGCCTGTGGGGAATGAATATAAATTACTTGGATATAATATTATTCCAGATCTTCCAGTGACTAATTTAAAATGAGGATTTAAAAATATATATCATATTTGGAGTTGGCAACCCGATTTCTAGGGTAATAAGTCAAAGTAAGTAAATTTCACCTAAGCCGCACCTTCTTTTTGATTTTCTATTTCTTATATAGGACCTCAAATTTAAAAATAAAATAGTAATATTTCTGCAACATTTAATCTAATGGTGGAATCTAATATTAAATGGGCTCTATTATGTAACTAGATAATTAATTACTCCTTGGAACTGAAACACACTAATAGGTATAGAATGCAAAGTTATCCTTGTAGTAAATGACTTTCTAGCCATCGAATAAAGTGCCTAACTTCATTACACAGCAAATCCTAAAAATGGAACCATTAAATTTCCAGCTTGTTTAGACACTGTACAGAGAACACAAAAGATCACTTTATACAAGATAATGCCAGAGCAAAAATTAAAGATGCATGCATGTGTGTGTGAACAAATACATCACTTGTTTTCAAATAAAGAGAAACACATTTATGTCTCCACGTCAGTGCCACACATCTGAATTACATTTCAGTATTGGTGACAATACTTAGATTTAAATAGATCATGAAACACCCTTCTAGAATACTCCTCGGAAGATGTTTATAAATCATTTCAATTTAGATGTGCTCCTAAATTAAATTAATTTAAAATTAATTTATTCCTTAACTGAATCTGTTAAATATATAAACTATCCACTTAAAAGAAATTTCCAGAATATCCCTATCAGCTCATGAGTTTTTAATTTCTTAAAAAGAAACCTTATTTTCATATAATATGCATAGAAACAGCAAAGTTGGTAAAACTCCAACTTAATGCTTTACTCTGCTAAAAGCCCCATTGTAAAATCTCTACGACATAGTTTTTAATGAAGAATACTTAGTTACTGCCATGATTTTTTTTCCATTTACTTCATGAAGACAGTTAAGGTTCAATATAAATTCAAACTCATTAGCTCAATACTGTCTGGATCTTAGAGTAAATTGTTCAGAAGTGGGTAATGAAAACTCAATTCAAATTCTTCAGCAATCAAACAAAGCAATTTTATTAAACAATGAAAAGAATCAATTAAAATGGATATCTTTATTATCTTTATTATTTTACAAGAAACCATGACAGCTTTTGGTTTAAAAAAACTTTATAGCTTCATACAGAAATGACTCACATAAAAGAAATTTCTCCAGCTTGCTCCTACACTGTGATATAAAAGTTCTTTTCATATTCACAGATTTATACACCTTATTTCTGTTCTCATAACTTTTTTGACACTTATCCCAAGGTACTAGTCAAATGTGCAAGAACTATAAATAGATGAATTTTCCAAATGTATATCAAGATATTATTATTATAAAAACTTTAAACATCTTCTTTTTACATTGCCTTTATCAAAGAATGTGCAATTTTTTATTACAGGCTTAATTCACAAAATATGTGAAATTTGATTTGCACAAATGTTATGATTCAGCATTGATTTTACCTTGTATGTTATCAGTTAAAACTGACTATCAGTATAAAGAAATCATGCTTTGGAATAAATATTATTTTAATACAAGAATTGCACTAGAAATTTAGAAATAATAAGTAATTTTCTCTATATTTTATACTTCATTTAAAATCTCCAACAAATGTAATGATTATATTTTCAAAGTAGATTGCATATTTGAGGATAATTAACTAAAATATGGAGTGGAAAAATATACATTCATTAGTTTGGATTCAGTTTGAGCTCCATTTACACCTATAATCTACTTCTGTTTTTCTGTTCACTTTAACTAATTTCCCCTTTTATCGAAATCCTTATTGCCAGGATAAACAAATAAATGGAAAATAGTTATTTCTGCAAATACATTTAAATTTCACTCATATCAGTAGAGATGCAAATAACTCTGTTTTTCACATTATTGAGGTATAAAATATTATCTTAAAATTCTGATTAAATCACCCTGAACACAGACTACAGACGAAATGCTACCCATTTTTATACCTGTTTTTGTGTCAGAGATATCAGCACCTTGTGCACAGGTAAATATCAAGCATTCATATGTGAATTTTCCCTAGTGAATTTCTAACACTATATTGGGTTTCCTCACTCCATAGAATGCTTCTAGCCATCTCTGCCAATCATCATTTGTTAAATACTCATGATGTTAGCTCATTTGGGTAATAAATAGAGCAAACGATTAAGAAACTAAGTCTGATGAAAAATATACAATATATAACTAAGTCAGCTGTAAGTGATTTTTGCATTATTTATAACATCCTTTTCATCTATTAGCATGAATAAATAAGAACTGAAAATAGGCTCCTTCAGAAGACATGCCCATAGTTATTAAGTGGATATTTTCATCATTTTGCTTTAAGCCATTGTATAGCACAATATAAACCAGTATATATGTACTACACTTACACACAAATATATATATACACACATAAATACTTTTAAAATTCATGTTTACTCTTAAGACTGCAAGAAACAGCAGCAGATTCAATATATAAGAAACTTCTAATATTTGGCCAGGGGAGATAGAAACAGAAAAATACTGACTTACTTCTTTTTTCTTTCACTTCATCATGGAATACAAGGATGACTCCTATAAAGCCCTAGTGTTCCCAAAGAACATATTCTAATTGGGGCTCAAGAATTAATACAAAAACTCATAAAGTATGCTAAAAATATAAAATGGCGAAGAGCCAAGGAATACAGTCACGAATTAATGGAAAGACTCAGTGTATCAAACTTTTTAATTATTTAGAAACTATAGCCATATTTTAATGTTGAGGGAGTGGGACTCAGGAGAGAGGGTCTCCCACACCTACTCTTAAATACACAGTGGAGAAGCACTGGGACAGGGCTGAGACTGGACCACAGGTGCAAGCCAATCTGTATCCTGAACAGCAGAACACACAAGTACTTGCAATATGATAAAATCAAGGGATAGAACTATATGCCCCATGAAGCCCAGCTACTAATTTCATTGTGTGATTTCGGTAGAGTAGAATGAACAAATATACAGCTTTGCAGCAGCTAGTAGTGTGTACATGAATGTAAAAAGGATAGTTGAAAATAACACCTGATAACCAATTCTGTCACCAGCTAAGGAATATTATTTGTATATTTATATATCTGAAATAATTTGCTTTATCTTGCTTAGTTATATTGCTATTCAGAATATACCAATAACTATATATTAAAATATATGAAATTTATATATAAAAAGTGATTGTGTGTGTTTAGTTTTTCTTTTGTGTAAAAGATATGTATTCCTCAAGGATAAGCAAGGTTATCTCCTTGCTCCTACATTTAATGTAACTGAAATTCAAATACGTAAAGACTAAGTGTGGGAGGTCCTCTCTCCCATTAGTCCCTCCTCATTCCAACATTAAAACATAGCTTCTCAAAAACAATAGTTTGATGCAACGTCTTAGTCTTCACGGGCTCAGACTTTTTTTCTTGGCTCACCCTCACTTGATATTTCTATTGCATTTTATGATACATCTTGTATGAAGGACCAGGTTTTAAATGCAGAAATATATCCCTAAATTGTGAAAGCCATCCCTGCTCTAAGGGTGCCAGATTATTGAATAGTCAGAAATGATGGGCTACAAATATAAAATAGTTTTTGTTTTCCTCTAATTACTGCCTTCAAAAAAGCTTTGTCAAGGATCCCTATTCTGTCCCTTAAGAGGCTTGAGCATATTTTGAGTATAATAAATTCATTCTTGCTAACTGTCATCTCTGTTTCCCCATTCCCCCAGCATTAGCCATTTCTAGACTTTAGGTATCTGGAAAACAGAGGCTTGCTCAGCTTTTCAACCATTCTGTCTTCCTTCTCTCCTTCTTCTGGGTAATAGGATAAAGATCTCTTGCTTCAATGGTCCCTGCTTAAATTCTCCTGCACTGCAACTTCTGTGGCTGTGCCTTTAGGCCACTGACATCTTTCAAGTGTTAAAAGCCTAAATCTAAACACTTCCTTGGTAGTAATGTCTGATCCTTCAAGGGAATCCTTACTGGGGAACCTTCTAACTGCACAAGTCCCTGACAGTAGAAATGCTCCATGCTCATCTAAGGTCCCTAAACTCCCATTGCCTCTTGATACTAATGACCTCCTCCGGGTGTAGGTCCTCTTGTTCTGATGTCCACTTTCTCCAGCCTGCTCCCTCTCCTCAGTTCTTTACCATCACCCCCACCACCTGCTCCCAATCAGCACTTCACACCTAAGCAGAAATCCAGCTACTAAATGAAGTGGAAGCATCTGCACTCTTTGAGTAATTCTCTTGGAATTTCCCTCCCTTGATCTCAGTGAGGAAGCATGCTCAAAGAGGGATTACTAAACCACAGCCATACTTATCAGTTGCTGTACTTTCACTAGAATGATCTCTTCAAATCCCGTCTTATAAATGAATGTTCATAAATGAGTGTAGTCCATTCTTATAAAGGAATAAGGTGGTTGTTTGTGGAGTCTGGAGTGATAGTTAAGACAGCAATGCTAATTCGGTTACTATTCATAAGTACCAATTGCTTTTCACTTTCTTTAAAATGAGGGGACCTGACACCTTTGTTCTCGTTGAAGACCACAGGAAAAAATTTTACTTAATATCCTGTTGCATAAACATACACAAGAAAACCAACAACAAATATGGCTATATTATAAATCAAATTTTAGTAACTGGTTCTTGTAAATAAAGTGAAATAATGGGAAAGAATAAAGATAAATAAAAGGAAGCACAATTTTTAGGTATGAAAGGGAAAGGAAAATGTTTTGAAGAAAGATATTGTTAGTTTCTCTTTACTAAAAACACAATAACAATTTTGAGTGTGTGTATGCATGGCACTAATTATAGTCTTAGTCCAAATAATTATATATATTATTGAGTTTTTTCATTTCATTCAGAAATATATCCAATAAGACATAGGTTCCCAAGGAGAAGTCCACA